CTGCGCAGGCGCCTAGTGGATAGGCTGTCCCGTTTGACGCGCGTGCCGGGCGCAGTTGCCTACACTTCTCTCACTGTTAAAACCCTACGAGGCAAAATTTCAAAGGGTACAAATCGATCCTAGAGAGAGGGAGCGAGCGTGCGTCGTCCGGCAACACAGTTTTAAAATTCTAACACCCCTCGCGCATATTTTATTGTACTTTTTATATACGTTTTTTCCTACCGTTGTTTCAGCATATCTCCCAAGTGCCACAGAAGATTCCGAAAAGACCCGAACTTGGTTGGCTTCGGAGTGTTTCGGACGTTTCGGTCGCGGTCCGATCGGGGTCGGGGGGCGGGCGGGACAGCGGGCTTGGTCGTGGCTGTAGGTTGTCGGTTGTCAGACGACGAAACGTCAAACACTGCCGCTGCCGTGCTCCCTTTTGGTATTGTGTTTATTGTTTTCTGTGTGGATGTAACAAAACAAACGATTTAAGCATATTGTACCTTTTACCTGAGTGGTAATATTTTTCTTAGTTGTCTTTCATTTAAAGTATAACCTATTTGCTGTTCGTTTTCTTAGAAGACGAGGTTATAGGTATGTTTTACTTTTCCATCTGGAAATGCTTGATTCTATTTTATAACAAAGTGAATTAAATTGAAAACTAGGTTTAACATACTCTCTCCTGCGTTTACAGGTGTTGACCGATATGAACAAGAGCTGACTTACAAATCAAAAGTACTCACAATGAATTGTACTCCTGCCCTTTTCCTTTTAGCCTGTAAGTTTTGTAGATGTTTTCAGTTTATTTATTTTTTAACTTCCTTTCTAAACCAGGTTTGTCCATAATTCTTAATTTAATGATTTGATGCTTTTAGGTTTGCTGGGCCTAACGGTAGCTTCCAGAGTAATTGAGTTGAGCGATAGGTAATGTTAATCGTATATCTCAATGAAATTTTATGGTATTGAACTTACTATGATTGGCTTTTGTTTTCCAGGTTCCTTGATATACGACGGGATGGGCAGTGGCTCATCATGGTGAGTGTTTTAAATAACAGCTAAATAAAATCAGTTTTTGTTTGGTGGGGGTTTGTAGGTTTACAAAATTTAATTATGGTCCGTTTAATATTATTCATATTTTCAGTTTTATGCCCCATGGTGTGCACATTGTAAAAGACTTGAACCCATCTGGGCTCATGTTGCCCAAGCTTTGACCAATACTAATGTGAGAGTTGGAAAAGTTGATTGTACAAGATTTACCTCATTAGCTACTGAATTTAAAGTGAATGGATTCCCCACCATAATGTTGTAGGTATCCATACATTTATATTGTAGAAACATCCCTACTGAAACCATCCAGTGCTACAGCAAGTAATATTTCTTTGGTTCACAGTTTGAAAGGGGATGCAGAATTCACATACAATGGTGATCGCACTAAAGATGAAATAATGAAATTTGCACTTCGTGTGTCAGGACCCCCTGTGCAATCCATTCAACGACCAGAGAGCCTGGATAATCTTAAAGGTTCCCAAGAACATTTCTTTGTTTATGTCGGTGTTCAAACTGGTCCACTCTGGGTAAAGAGCATTCTCAATTAGTCATGGAGTTTTTTTTGTTTTCCTTAAATTATCTCCTCACTTACTTGCAACAATTCTTTCAGGAGGCCTATTTTGATGTGGCAGAAAAATTTCAACCTCATGCTTTCTTCTATGCAACTTCTCCAAATATAGCTAAAATGGTATGATTTTGTTTCTGTTTACTTCCACTATATTTTGCCAACACTGTATGTAAGTGGTGATGCTCCTAGTTGGTTGAAATATTGAACGCTCTGATGAGTCTTATTACTATTTGGTGTGCATCTTGGTATTTGATTTCAATTATAATTTTCTGCAATTTAAAAGTTTGTTTTTCTTTGCAGCATGTCAAATTAGAACAAATCCCTGCTATTTTTGTCTACAAGGATAGTAATCATTTCTTTTATCAAGGTGAGTTGAAATTTGTACTAAACTAATCTTGTTGCAGTTCGTTTACTAAATCTGCCTCTACAGCATATTTATCCAAAATTTTCTTTTGTCATCAGAGGTTCAACTGTCTGATGGACTAAATACAAGTATAGCTGACTGGATCAATCAGGAACGGTTTCCTCAGTTTCCCAAAGTTACAAGAGGTAACCTGAACCAATTAATGAAAACCGGAAAGTATTTGGTTCTAGCTGTGGTTGAAGAAAACAAACTAGAAGAAGTCCCTGCCCACATGCTTGAGTAAGATGACAACTTAAGATGCATTCAAGAGAAATGGTTCATTTCATAATAATACAATAGTGGGTTTACTTCCAATTTGTTTATTTCTCAGGTTTAGAGATATGGTTGAATCAGTTATTGTTAAGTACAGAGCCAAGTACCACAGGTAGGCTGGATTAAAGTCACACACATGTTTCCATTTGCACAGAAATTTTATACCTTTTGTTAGTGCCTGTATCTCACAATTTTTTACTGATATACAGGTATTTCCAGTTTGGTTGGGTTGCACAACCAGATTTGGCCAATTCTATTGCAATGCAAAAGCTTCCGCTGCCCTCTCTGATGGTCGTCAACTCCTCAACTAACCATCATCATTTTCCTGATGATGATCCTGCTCAGCTTACTTCAGAAGCAATAGTTATTTTCCTTGAGCAAACCCTTAGTCAATCATTGCCGGTATGTAGCAATAATAAGTCTTAATCTGTGTTGTTAAAGTTCATCTAAAAAACTCATCTTTTTGTTCTATTTTATTTTATGTAGATCTATGGAGGCAATTCTTGGCCAGTCCGCGTGTATCGAGCATACTTTGAAATGATAACTGCTGCGTCAGATATGTGGAGAGGAAATCCTGTTCTCACGACTGTCTTATTTGGCCTTCCGTTCGGTTTCTTGTGTCTCATTTGCTACTCTATCTGTTGTGCTGACATATTGGATGCAGATGAAGAGGAGGAAGAGGAGGAAGGTATGTTACATGAGTTGATAAGTTTCTTTCTTCTCTGCACAACTGGAAATTATTCTAATCTCATAATTGTCTTTCCTTTCAGAACTTCTCCATGAAAAGAAAGAATAGTTGTCCCATAAAATGTGATTTCCTTCATAGGCTGTGTGACCAATGATCTCTTTCACAAGAATGAGATTAATTTTTGCATTAATAGTGGGTAATTTTCTAGTCATCAAGCATCAAGGTGTGCTGGAATCAAATCTTATAAACAATGACTATAGTTAGCTTCCATTTGTAATTTAGTTCTGTACCTTGTATGGGTTTGCTCATTCAAAGTTGATTAATTCCTCAAGTGATGTTTCAGTTTGTCAGCAAACTATTTTTGTTGAACTTTGATCAGGGAAAAGGGATTTTTTTGTGTTTTTTGGTTCCGTGTCCTTCATAATTCTCAGAATTACAGATTAAATTATAACATTTCCTAGTAATGATTGTCAAGATTGTGCTAAGAGAATTTGCTTGTAATGACTGATTGAAGAAAGTCCTGCATCTTTCTCTGCCTGTTATTTACTATGACTTGAAAACACTTCAGTGCTATGATAAGTAATCCACAAATAGTGGCTCTTCCTGCTTCTTGTTTGTTCAGTGTTTCTTGAACCTGTGGTTTTATTTGTTAAATGAGGTTAACCCAGTATTTATTTTATATTGACTACCACCACTACTACTACTACTACTACTACTAAAATACTTAGTTATCTAGTCAGGAGTTCAACACTCAGTTGTGGTGTGTGACTCCCACTTGCTTTGTGGTCATGATTCTATTGTTTTAATTATTAATTATTATTATCATGGGTATTTTGTAACTAAGTTTTGCTCATGGGTTTTCATTTTACTACCTTATTTATTTATACTTCATATACAATATATTGTAGCATTGTCAATGGATGATTATGATTATTAGAGAATAAAAGGATCAAGAAGGTCTTTTAGATTTCTCTTACATGTTTTGTTTGAAAAGTCAGAAAAAAAAAGTAAATTTGGCAGTAGGAAAGCATTACAAGCCTTGCTACTAGTAAAGAGCCATTATTGCTTTGTTCACAGTTGCCCTTCACCAATACACTTACCTTTCTTCCAAGCTGATATTTTCATTCATGATCTTAATAACAAAGTAATAAACCGATATGGATATGTCACACCCTAGGTAAATGTAAAGCCACTGAGAAGTAGCTTATAGATTTAAGTAAGTCTGAACCAAAACTTCTTAGCAGTAGTATCAATAATTATGAAAGCATCTAGTTTTCTTTGAAAGCCATCGGTATCCTGATCTAAAATATTTCTTAAAAACTACAGAACTAGATTGGACAATAAAAAGAAAGTGCTGGGGCTATAATTACATTAAAGGTATACATAATTAAAAACAAAACAATCACAAAAGGCTAACTGTAAACCCACAGTTAATTGTATCCAAACTACAGAATTCAAATTCTAAATTTACAATGGCAGTTATGAAAGAACATGTATAAGCCGGAAAAATTGTTTTGGACCTTGATTTACACTACAGGAAGGATTTGTTTACACAACTCAGGATCTTTACACAACAATCATTCCACCCTCACAAGTTCACAGTAAACCCAGCACAAGTTACATCTATGGTAAAAACGAAGGTCTTGCAACCAACCACTTAAAAAAGGTAAAAATCAGTGCATAATTACACAGAAAAGTCAAAAGACTTCTCTGACCCCACTCAATTCTCACTTAAAGCATATGATAATAGTCTCTGTTGTTAAAGGGTAACCATTCACATAATGCCTGAGTTAAAATCATATTAAAGATGATAGAAACAGCATATGCACCCATACATCAGTCAATTTTGAGGAACGATTGAGTCTACATGGCGTCAATGCACAATATTAACACAAATCTCAAAATTATTTCCACAGGTCAATTTTTTTAATTGCCCATTCAATTAGACAATAGAAAAGGTTATGCACTATAGGGGAACTGCAATCTGGAATAGAGCTGACTAGGACAAAATATGGATTGTAGGCATGTCAGGAACTGTAGATTGATGTGCTTTGATGTATTGAAATATTTATATGAGATCAACATCAATGGGAAGACAAAACTACAGATAAAAAAGACATGTCTGATAACTTCACGTTAAATGATAGAGGAAGTTACCCAATTAAACACAGAAAGATCACAAGGACATATTTGTGAGGTATTTGTGTGTTATGGGACCATGACAAAAGTACCGCCGTAGTTCTCATACCTGACATGACATTCACAATGCACAATGGATTGAACAGCCATTAGAATCTCAAACAAATTAACTTTGGAGCCTTGTTCTTCAAATGTAGGATTAGTACTTGTGGAAAGCAACCTAAACGGAACTTAACATATTTCATTGCAGAGGCTCAAAATTTTTGGGCTCCCCTATTGAGGGCTCTGTTTCTGTCTCAGCAGACAACTGTTTAAGCCACTGCTGTACTTGAGTTGGGTGTTGTCTCTTGTGAGTACTACCCCCACTTTTCAGGTCCTAAGGAGCAATCAAAAATAACTCATTCAGACATAATTTATACACAAATAACTATTAATTCATTTTTTTAATGTAAGTAAGATACTCACATCAGACTCACGATTCTCATTTACATGAACGGGACTTTCTACATCTGTCTGGGACTTGCCATTTTGATGAATATCTTCATCCTCTCTAGGCGAATTTTGAGGCAAAGAAATGTGGCTAAAACGGATTACTGTCTCTTGGATTGGAGATGAAGAAGAATCAAGAGGCACAGGCTTAAACATAGACATGTGGTCTTGATTGGCATCCTGATAGTCCTCCACTCTGTAAAAATAGTTGTAATTTATTAAGCATTTTTACAAAACAAGAAATTGAGAAACAAAGACAAGGTATTTCACATCAAAATACCTTTGAAGAAATGATCCATCCCCTTCTAGAACAAGCAGATTTCCTCCCGTAAGACCCACCAATCCTAACGAAGATATGGTTTCACTGATGATATTTTCCTGGTCAAGTTGTACTGTTACATGAGGTATCCTCTCTGACCTAAAATTACACAAAATTAACTACTTTGTGAGATTCAGAAAAAAGGGAATTGTGTGGTAGATTTACTTACAAAGCATTTTCAGATCTGGATTGAATCAGTGAGAGCTGTTGACTGTGCGCAACATCAATTTGCCTCAACAGCTGTTTTTCACGGGAGCGCAAGCTTTCAGTCAGCCTCATGAATGCTGACTTGACATCTGCCTGTGCCTAGTGATCATAAATGCAAAGGAGCATTTGTATGCATTTAAAATATATTTATATATATGTGTGTAATGACAGTATAGATTCAATTAGCAGTCCAAAAAAAATGTCACACAATACCTGAGCAGTTGTTGCCTCTAGGTGCTGATAAGTCAGAGCAAGTGCTTCTGAATCAGGAGTGCCAGGTAAAGTTCCCTCTTTCTTCTCAATCATTGTTCCTACAGATCTGTAGAAAAGAAATAATCAAACCGCTTGTTCTTTAATTGGAATGTGTTTTATATAAACTAGTAGTAAGGAGGTAGGCTACATGTGGACTTGATAAAAGGGGAAGGGATGCAAAAGATATAACAAAATATAGAAATCAAATTCTTGTCCAAGTGATAATAATAATAAATATAAACAAACTGTCAAGGACCGGGGCAAGAAGTATATACACGACGTCTGCCCACCTTGCCCAAGCAGAACACATATGTACTACATGTTAAACTCAGACTTTATACAGGGAACTGCAACAAATTGTAAATTGTATCTACCTAGGTCGGTCTTTTCTCAAAGCTTTATGAGAAAAGTTAGATTTCCGAAAGGACCAATGTCCTAAATGAAAGGAAAAACATCAACAAAGTAAAACTTGGTTTTGCCGCAGTACAGCTGTGTCAAGTAGCAGAAGCTTTTCGAGAGACCCATAACGTTCCCTTGATCCTTGGATCAATCTCGCGGGAAGCTTGAACACCGCCACACACAGTAAAGCAGCTCTTCTGACCATTTTTTTTTTAATTTTAGCTTGACCGAGTTATTTATACGTTCAAGGTGAGTTAAGAAATACCTGAGATTGTTTTTAGAGACAAGAGAGCCAGAGCCTAACCTCTTCACCTCAGAAACAGCTGCGTAGAGCCAGTAGAGTAGAGTCTAACGAACGAAGGTAGAGCCACCTGCATTAGTTTATGGTCCGTATGATAAAATACTGTCTAACACAACAGTAACGAGGTGCATATGATTCATTGCGAGGAACGAACTCTACTAACGAAAAATACTCAAAATAATTTCGTAAACATGTTCCTCATGTTCCGTCTCATCTGCGGACCTCTTTCGAATGGTCGCGCGCTTTTAGTTTCGACTTGGGCAGAAGGGAGGGATCATCCCACTACCCTCTTGTGTTTGAGTTTTAAGAAGTCAACAACAAGCAGAACTGAAATTCCAAAATCGCTGATATGACGAAAAAGGGACAAACTGTTCTCAAGGTTCTAGTCACAATGGACCTTCATTCATCTTAAAAGGAATTTTGCAGGTGCTTGTGGGACATCATAAGGGGTTCGGAAATGTATCCAAATCATACTGGTGACATTGTCCACCTTAATGTTGGAGGGACAAGGTTAGTGAATGTTTTTTATTTAAGTACTTCTGTTTGTTATTTCTTTATAATTAAAAATAAATAGTATTATTCAGTGCATGTAATGTTTTCTAAACATAGTTATATGAAGATTTCATTCAGTTTTTAATTTTGCTTGGTGTGTTAATATTTTTGCTGATCTGTTCTAGATTCTCAACATCTCGTCAAACACTTAGCTGGATTCCAGATTCCTTTTTCACTGCACTCTTAAGTGGACGAATATCCAGCTTGCGTGATGAAACTGGTGCAATATTTATTGATAGAGATCCAAAGGTTTTTGCCCTAATCTTAAACTATTTACGTACAAGGGATATTGAGCTTAAAAGTGTTGATATACGTGCTCTCCGACATGAGGCAGAGTATTATGGAATCGCACCTTTAGTTAAAAGACTTGTGCTATGTCAGGATTTAATACAGTCTTCTTGTGGAGATGTTCTTTTTTATGGTTACCTTCCTCCTCCTTGTAAGTTTTTCTGCTAAGTTTGTATATTTTACAGCTACTGACAGAAGTTTACAAATTACTGTATTACATTTTTTAGGTGTACCACTCCAAGAGCAAAACTGTTCTCACTCTCTTGCTAGTGAAAGAGAAAATGCTGTTTTAAGCGGTCCTTCATCATCAATTAGACCAGGATCTATTGTTAGGGTGCCAGAGCAAGCTAATCCTCCTCCTGCAGCTATACCTGCTCCCCCAGCAAGTGCAGTACCATCAACTTCGTCTTCTTCCGGACATCAGCCTCTCAGCAACTTACCACAAAATGCTTCACTGCCAACAACATCAATTGCCGTGTCGGTTCCTTCCACCAGCACATCAGGAAGTGGAAATACTGCTTTGTCTGGAACAAACTCCAGTGCAAACTTGAGTAATACTGCTGGCTCCGGAGGCAGCACAAATGGAAACTCTCATGTCAATCCATTACCAGGATCAGTAGCTAGTTCAAATAATCACCCTATTCATAGTTCTGTGATGCCGCCTCCAACTGGATTAATTAACATTCCAGGGTAAGTATATTTTGTCCATCAACTTATTTTTTTAGACAGTTTATTTGTGGCCATACAACGCTCATACATACGCTCGTCTAAATAAGCTCTCAATTCTTTTATACCACCTTTACTTGTTGTTTACCACCAACCTTCATCACCATGTGGTCGGAAGAATGATTATTGGTCTTGGTGCAACCAACCGTTTCCTAACCGGTACTTTTATCTCAGAATATTCACCACCCCCAAATGTAATAAAAGTGTCATTGGTTTTCTCAAATCCTTGAGTCAAGTCAATAATCAAACATTTTTTCAGTTATGTAGGTAAAATTTAGAGAACACTGGAAAAAATTCTGCTTGCTTTCATCTCAAGTCCTTAACCCTTCATGAAAAAAAATTGTATTTAGAGAATAACTAGAAGTATATTATTAACTTTATTGCAAACTCATATCATTCTGCTCACAAACTCTACAATTTTTTTAATCTTTACGTACGAGTTATTTGGAGGACACTTAACAAATTATGCATGCTCTTTTTCTCAAAGTCCACACACGGCTGATCGTGCTGCCTACCGTGCTGTGTCAATGATCAACAACAATTACTTTCGTGGTGGAAACCAAACTCCGACTAATTCTGAGATGAAAGCAGTTTTACTCTCTACCACAACTTTTCATTAATTGGTGATAAGCAGACTCTTAGCACAAAATTAATTTTGTATTTTGCTTCTCCCTTGTCTTTGTAGGTATTCATGTATTCCGGGGCCACATCCTCACACTCACTCTACATCACGTACTAATTCAGCAGTTGCTTCTGCCCATTCTCGAAATCCTTCATTGGACTTAAGAGTCTCCTCAAACAGCTGTGCTGGACCAAGTAATGGCACAGCCCCATTAGGGTCACGCTCCTCTAATGACATCCGCAACATGGCAGCTAGAGCAGCTGCGACCTGTGCTGTGAATGGACATTCAAGGGCTGCTTCACTTGACCTCAGGCACTCAAGAAATTCATCAGCTGATCTCAACAAATTGCTGAGGAATGATGTTGCTCTAGTTTTTGGAAATCACCACCAAGGTATATATTTCTGACACTCATTAAAATAGTATGTAATTAATTACAATTACATTTGACTGAGATTTCAAATGAATGACTTGTTGATGTGCTTTACTCATTCACAATTAGGCTCAAGCTGGGCAGACCCACTTCGAGTGCAAATCATCAAGGCTCACCATAATTGGATAGTAGTGGCTTATGCCCATTTTGTTGCATGTTACAGGTAGGTGCTAAGAAATTCTAAACAGATTGAGAACCAGATTTCCATAAAATCTGTATTTATATATGTATATGATGTGTGTTACAGACTAAAAGACTCAAGTAGTTGGCAACATGTTTTCACTAGTCCCCACATTGAAAGCTGTATTGAACGTATAGCAATCAATGCAAAGCTAGGCCAAGGTGGTGGTGGTAATGGGGAAGCCAATTGCAAAATGGTTGCCATTTCCTATGGAAGTCAAGTACGTTTGTGGGGTGTATCAGAGTGTGGAGCCCGTACTAATATTGGTTTGTCTTTCTAACATGGAAAATAATACATAAGTTGACATTTTCTCTCTGTTTTAAATAGTTTACTAATTTGTCCTAAATGTGTTTTTCCACATAGGAACTTTCAATCTTCATGTTCGTGTGGAATATCTATTCTTCATTGGTAGCCAACTTGTTGCACTGTCTCCAACTGGAAAGATAGGAGTTTGGCATGCCATGACCCAGCATTGGCAGATCCAAGATGTTGTGCCGATATCTTCCTTTGACACAGCTGGTTCATTCCTCCTCCTTGGATGCAATAACGGCTCCATTTATTACATTGGTAGGCTTCTTTCCTTTCTCCAAATAATAGCATAGTTGTTTCATTTTAAAAATAATTCTAAAAAATGAATTTCATTCATTTTTTTGTTGCTCTTAGACATGCAGAAGTTTCCTCTTCGTATGAAAGACAATGATTTATTGGTCACTGAGCTCTACAAGGACCCTGGAAATGATCCTATTACTGCTATTTCTGTTTACCTCACCCCAAAGACCAGTAAGTAGTTTTACAATTTCTATTTTGTGTCAAGTGTGTTAATCCTACATTTGCATTCAATTATCTAGATTAATACCATGGTGGTTTTGTGTTAAAACTTTTAGGTTTGTGTGGTAATTGGATTGAAATAGCTTATGGAACAAGTGCTGGAACTGTGAGGGTCATTGTCCAGCATCCTGAGACGGCAGGACATGGTCCTCAACTGTTTCAAACATTTACTGTGCATCAGAGTCCTGTCACCAAGGTAAAAGAACAACTAATTCATCTAATACCTGTGTTAATAGACTGAAATTACTGTAGCCTAGAGATTTTCAATCATATCTATTAATGTGCTCTTCACTAATTTTACACTGTGTGTTATAGGTGATGCTCTCTGAAAAGTTTCTGGTGTCAGTATGTAGTGAGTACAACCATGTGCGCACATGGAGTGTTACTCGATTCAGAGGAATGATCTCAACACAGCCTGGCTCAACTCCTGTTGCTTCTTTCAAAATAGTGTCTTTGGAAGAGGTCGAGCCATATGTTAGTTACACAGCTGGCAACGATTGTGGTCCTTTTGGAGAACAAGATGATGTTCAGGTCTTCATACAAAAGGTTGTTCCCGATACACCAGAGCTTTTTGTGCGTCTTGCTTCAAATGGAAAAAGGTATTGTGCTTCTTAAGTTTGCAATTTAAAAAAATAATCAATGTTTGTTTGTCTTTTACCTCATGTGAATAAATGATGTGTTATCTCTATTTCAGAGTGTGTGTCATTAGATCTGTAGATGGAACAACAATTACATCATTCTGTGTTCATGAATGTGAGGGTTCAAGTCGCATGGGTTCCCGCCCACGACGTTTTATCTTTACTGGCCACAGCAATGGTGCAATACAAATGTGGGACTTGACCACTGCCCTTGATCTGGCTGCAAAAGATGCACCAGGTTAGTATTTTAAACAATAGCTTTCTTTTTGAGATAGAGTGATTACTTTGTTCCTCCTGTAAGTTGTCAGTACAGTCTTAATAACTTCTGTAACTTTTTGTTTTTTGTGTAGCTATGCAAATTTTTGGTGGACCTACTCCTGAAGAACTGCTCAAACTCCTAGACCAATGTGACTTAAGTAATAGTCATAGTTCCACACCATGCATATCACCATGCCCTTCGCTGATAGGACACCCAGCTGCAAGATTGAAGGCATCAAATGTGGCTTTCTTGAACCAACAGCAGCAACAAGCTGAAGCTCTTGAGGCACATACTCGAGACAAAGATCGCTCAGATAGAGTAGCACCAGCTGGTGCTGAGAATGTTAGCAAAGTTAATCAGCCATCCAGTACTGGACCTCCTCCACCTTCTTTGTGAACAACTTATTCTCTAGCTCTATTCATAATTTGGGTTGAAGACAGTTTTACATTACAATGCAGAGATATTACTTTAGATTGATTTTTCATTTGGTTAGAGTCTACACAATAACAGTATTTCTTCAAAGCCTCTATAATGTGTTAATTTCCTGTTTGTTATGAATTTGAATGTGTTTTATGGTTTTCTTTATGTTTTAGACTTATGAAGTTTGTCTTTTCAAGAATCTTTTTTATATTAAACATTCCCATCAATTTTTGCTCATACTCACAGCTTTGATTGCATCTCATGTGTGTAATTGTTAGTGCTTTTTAAGATGCAGCGTAAAAATGAATTTGATTGCAACTATAGTTCTGTATTTAAATGATATATACAGTATTTCTTTGTCTTTACTTTTATGTTGATTTAATGAAGTATGTATGTAGCTGGTACTTACTTCTGAATGTTTATGCAAATGTTTTCTGTACTGTTGTACATTATTTTGGCACCCCTTTAATATTTATTGGAGTAAATGAATTTAATTTATTATGTTATTATCCCTAGAAAATAACCATGGTTATTTGTGTTGAATTTGTCCAGGAAGAAATGATTCTTTATTGATAAAAAATATTGATTGATTATGTCTTAAAAATTGGCACAGTATTACCAATTTATTTACTGTATACATACAGTAAATATGTATTATTATTATTATTATGGTCCAATATGTTGTGTTTGATGTATGTAGCCATCAGTATTAGCTATAATAAAATCTCAGATTTTATGAAGTGGTTGTTTCAAAATATCCAAGTCCCATCATATTATTATTATAGTTCAATGGACATTAAGTGAAAGAGGAAAACAAGGAGGAGAAAAGGGGGTGAGGGAGGGGGCGGAAATGTCACTGTCAAACTAAAATATTGATAGGAAACCTGATGTTGAACTTATTGTTCTTAAGGGGATGCAGGGCCTTGCTGGGGCCGTGCTGACCGGACCAGTCCGGCCAGGCCTTCCAGCAGACCGGATTGGGGGCAGCTCGGCCCCGGCCGAAGGTAGCCGAACCACGACCTGCTCGTTTGTTTCAGAGCACCAGCCTGTCTCGTATATTATAATGATATTCAGAGAGAGGGGGGAAAAGAAGTGCCTGTTTATTTCCTCGATCTTTCCATTTCTCTTGAGAGATGACCAATGACCATCCGGTGCCGGTGTCTGCCGTGCAGGGCGGTGCAGGGTGCACGCAACACTGCCCCCTACACCCTCCTCCTTTTCCCCTCTTACCCCCAATCCCGATCCCACATGAGCCCCCAATGCATCCAGCCATTTTATTTATTAAAACCGCCGGTCCAGTGCACGGGCAGGCCGAGGGGCAGGCGCTGTAAAGGTCGTAAATGCCATCGTGCGCCTGCAATGTTTACCTACGTCTGACTGGTCTGAAAGCAGGCTCAGCGTAAAGTAATAATTTACGAGAGCAGCCACTCCACCGGCCCGGCAAAAAATGCTTTGTTTGCACGTGGCTGCATTGTAGGGAGGGGTACGGTGATCATTTCGAATTAGTTGGACCCCACCTTTCCGTCTTAACTGGTGGCATATATCGTGGTCACTTCCAGGATTCGAATTTACTGAGCAGTTTTCTGCCTCAAAAGTGACTTCACAATGAGGGTTTCCCGAGGTGACTCGAGGGACCTCGAATGTTCCCTTGCCTGAGCCCCTGCATTTCGGCGCTCAGGGCGGGCCACCATCCCCACACAGGTGCTTGGCGGGCTGGCCTACTCAACGCGTGGCAGGCGCTTTCCTTAAGTTTTGATTCCGAAGGGAGTAAAAAACTCAGATTGTGCAGTTACCATTGCAGTGAGCCAATGGACGTCGCACTCAGAGGGTAAACACCAACACTAAAAGTGAACATAAATGTTGACGTGTCAGCTAGCTTTAAACAAGCATCTCGATAGGAAAAAAACAAGCGCTAGGACCAGCAAATCACATTTATCGGGTGCTGGGAGAATTGTGGCTGACTGACAGTGAGTGAGATGTCCCTGTTGGTAGTCACACAGTTGTAGTTAAGCTGCAAACGATACGGCCACGGGTGGCTGCACCCGAACCGACTGTAGACCAGAGACCAGGTCCGCTCACAGAGAGACTAAAGTGTTTAATTCCAAACTCGGTCTATTTGCTTCTTATGTACGTAGGTGACGATTGCCGGTAATTTTTAACAGATCTTACAAGAAGGCACCTATACTTAACAAAAAATAAATGAGAAATTTTAAAGTGTCAGCTGGCTTTAACCATCGATATGAAAGAAAACTCTTTGATTGCGTGAAAGACTTGCTGGCATTCTCTCAGACCTGTAATGATTTTGTTGTCAGATAAAACGGTAAAATTCTCTACAGCAGGAATATCAGGTTATCAATTATTCCGTGCAGTTTCGTTCAATGTAAATACTACAATAGAATATCAAATTTACCGAAGTGAAAAAATAACAAATGCCTATTATTGATAAATAATAATGTTTGTCAGTTTTCTAGCCCCGTTAAAACGTAACGTTAATTACTGACTGAGGGCGGCAAAAATAATCAGCGAGAGGATTAGAGTGAACATTTAATTGGCTTGTGAACAGCTTCGCAAGGTTTGATCCTTCCGTGATATCGACACCTTCCGTCAAAAACCTTCTCATAGGACAAGACGACTTTAAAATAACTTCGTGCTTCGGGTAAACTCTAGGCTACTGTCGGCCTCGCGGTGCTCCGAAGCGCACTCGCGCCTACGACTCCAGCAGGCGCCCTGTCTGACTCCAGGCAGGCGCTCTGTCGGACACCAGGCGCCCTGTCTGACTCCAGACGAGCCCCCGCGGACTGCTTTGCATACCATTATGAGAGAGGGGAAAGAGGAGCCCTTCTCCTTCCCTTCCCCTCCTTTCCAGTAAGACAACGCCGAAAACTTGTCGAATGCCGTAACCAATTAAGAACTAGCGCTCGGCGCACCGTTCGGCCGACGGTGCGCGCGGCGCAAACGGCGCGAACGCGCCTACACCCAGAGCAGGTTGAGATCTCAACCCTCGAGGGCGGTGGTAATGCAGTACCGCACGCAGGCTGACACCGACGAGGTTCGCGCGGGGTCACAAGGAGGCGTGGTGATTGGCGACGACAGGACACTCGGCTGACTGCCACGGCCCCACGAGGGCCCGATCGAGAAGACATTAGACCCGGAGGGGTGGGGTGGGGGCATTTCTGAACGTGTGCAGTGACGTTCCCACAGGATCTTCGGCACCCCCCGCATCGCCAGCGCGTCTGAGCTGAGGCGGCGGGACTGGCCACCTCGCCTGGAGCCCATCTTGTCGGCGCCCGGGGCACGGTGCATTTAGAGTGCTGCTGGGTGCCTCCTGAGGGCCCCGGGCAGGCCCAGGCAGTGCTGCCCCAGGGCAGGTCGGATGCTGTGCGGGGTGCACCGCGGGCCACCGAAGGGCCGCCGAAGGGCAGCCGGGGAGGGCTCGGGTCGGCTCCCTGTAGAGCTGGTAGTCCCTGCCCTCAGGGCGCTCTCAGGGCCCAACGCGCTGGGCCAGCCTGCCCCCCCGCGGCCGGCCGACCAAGGGGGGGCTGCCCCCAACGGAGAGGATGCGGGTCACCCCGCACGCAGCCGGCAAGGCGCAAGCCCAAAGCCCACCTGACAAGAGAAGTATGGCGGAAGGGACGACCGGTTTCGGACGCAGCACGCTCCAGTAAGGGTGAGATTTGAAAATCGAAAGCAAAAAGCATTCGTTTTCGAAGGATTTAAAGGGCCTCGGCTCATTACCGAGGACGTACTTGATGAAGAGGACGTCAGCGAGCCGCAATGATGGGGGCCGTTCAAAAGTTATCCCCATAGGTCGTGTTATTTTTGTTATGTTGTCCGATGGACAAAATAAGAGCATTTGGAACAGCTTCAACGTTTTAAACTAACCGACACAAAATCATTTATGATTCCTCTCAGTACAAGCATGATATCAAATCGAGTGGAGCTGAGCAAAACTCGCAATCGTCGGCTGCACTTCGTCATTGACTTGTCGCTCCTCTGCAAGCCGCGTGGACGTTTTCTTTCCAGTCAACTAGTTGAAGTTGAAGAAGGCAGTCTGCTGAGTGCTTCTGAGCTCGCTATGGTCAGTTCCGACTACTACAGTTCCGACCGAGCCATCGGAAAGGAGCCCGTGCGGACAGCGGGCACGGGCGCCTGGCGTCAGCTGAGACTCCGCCGTGTCCGGCCGTGTCAAACGTGAAGGTCTGGGGCCAAGGAGGCCACGACTCTCGCTATCATGAGCAAACGATCGAGTACAGTCTTCGCAATCACATTGATAAAATGTGCCGATTGTGGGCAACCGCATCACCAGACTATCACTCGATTGCGAAGAAAGGTCCGAAAACGCAGTTAGCCTTAAAAGCTCAAGAACGTGATTCAATTTGTGATTAATAAGGAATTTAAGATGGGTGCAATCCGGCGCAATCAAGCAATCAGTGTACAAAGTTTGGTCTGGTTTGGCCCCCTCGGCCCGGGCGGTGCTCAGTCGGGGGCCCGGCCGCATACCAGTGGCACGAGCTGCGGAGCTCCGGTCCCAGGGAATTCCACCTTTGTAATAATATGTGTCTGGGTCCATCCGGACCGTCCGGACCCACCGGGAGGGAGGGCGATACATCAACAGAGGACCACGGTGCTGCTGGCGGCGTTATGGGAAGAGGCTGGGGGAAGACAGTGTAGCCGTAGCGCACACGGAGCAGCTGGGCGGCACGGGCTCGGGCAAATGAGAGAGGCGCGGACGCCGATCTGCAAACCTTTTTCTCACCCTTATTCGTCTCAATCTGTCGGTGCAACTTGTCAGCCCCCATCGTGAGAATAAGAATAGGGGGGCTTTCGGCATGCTCCATTTGCCCTCGTAGAGACCCTCGCTTGGTGCAAAGCAGCAAGCAGGGCCTTTGCCTGCTCGCCCAGCACCTTTCCTTCGAGGCTCTTCATATGAAACGTTTCTCAGTTTCACACGTTCGAAGGAAAGGGTGGAGATTCGGAAAAGAGTTGTCTGCAATATGTGTACTCTGCGCGAATTCACTTTGTTCAGTTTTGGTAAATTATATCAAAAGTACTCTGAAAACTCAACAGTGTACATATACATTGTATGCAGCAATCATTGATGATTGCTGATATATCAGTGTACATGGAATGATTGCTGATTTTTCAGCATACAATGCACATGTACGCGGTTAAGTTTTCAGAGTATCTTACGCCTTAATCTTACTCTCGACTTCTTCTTTCTTCTCGTTGAGAATAATAATAACAATAATCCTTTTAGGTCTGGGATAATAGTGTTGCGTACTTCCACTTCCTTGTTGACTTTGAATGGACTGGACCAGGTGGTTAGGTAGGTAGGTACTCGCTCGCCGGACCCCCCGCCATCCTCCTGTCGTCTTGTCGTTCCCTTGGCACCTTGTCAAAGCGCGGGGCGGGGCGGGTGGTGAGCGCGCGCGCGCTGTGCTGAGGCTAACCATTCACATCGTGAGAGTGTGGAGGGCGCGACGGCGCGTCGTTTTGTAGAGACGTCACAACTACAAGTGCCGTGGTGCTCTCAAGTAACATACGGGTAGCCTCGTTCAGCCTCGTGGTGCCGCGGAAAAAAATGTTCTTTCATTGGCGGGGGGTGAAAGAGTGGGTAGAAATGGTGAAAAATTACTGATTTAACTATTTTTTGTACACCATATTGTTGTCTGAGCTCAGGCGCCCAAGGTTTGAACAGCGCAGTGCGCGGAGGCAAGCAGATGCCACAAAATCGCATTTT